ACACAAATACACTAAAATAAACGGTGTAACTATCAAAGCAACCACAAAGAGTGAAATATTCTCATGTGCTGCCACCAACAGCATCTTGGTGCTCCTATGCTATTCAGATATACTAATATTAAGTCATATTCAGAGAGTTAGTGCATAATTGGCCCTTTTCTATGCAAATGAGCCTCATTGCAAAACAGTACAAGCACAAAGATCAGGGCTTATAGCCATGTATCTATCTTTTGTGAATTGGACCTTGATACAGGGAGATAGCAGGTGCAAACCATGTGCCATCCATGGTGCTCTCGGCAGGCGAAATCCATTTGTAAATGTACCTTTTTTTAAACTCATGACTGGACTCTTTTAGAGGCACAGAAAGACATGTAATACTCTTTATATTATGCATTTAAATATTTGTAAACAATTTTATAATTCAAGTTAATTAATTTATATGTAGGCCTATACATTTGATTGATTATACATGTGCACTGCGACAGACATTTGAGGCATTTCGCTGTCCGCACTGGGCGACCAACTATCAGAAAGCGGCTCAAAGTGCATGCCAACAGCCAAGTTTAAGTGCTAGTTTAATTATGATTAACCTTACATAAAAACCTAACTAATGAAAAAAGGTGTGTTACATCAGTAAAGCAGCAAACATGCCACAGAGGCCCTGAAGAAGTGGAGCCTTTACAAGTTAATAGGCTGGTTTTAAAAAGACCCTATAAGAGTTAGAAGCACATTCTGCTAACAAGACGCCTGAAAGAAGATATAGGAAGGAACATAACCGCAACCTTCTGTGATTCAAATGGGCGCCATTTTGTAGTCCAATAATCAGTTAGCGGTACTTGAGCCATAATTAGGAAAAGTAACAACAGCTGATTTGAAAAAGATGTCCAAGATCTTTGATGAGAAACAAATCTGCCACAGCATTTGCAGATTTCTTAAAGTGGTTTTAAGACATAAAAGAGTGGTAAACATAAGTCACAAGTTACGACAGGCCTCTGCTTGCTGACTCACACTGACATTTGTCACGTAGACACATTAGTGTTTACCCATGTAACTATGCAGAAGCCATATTGATCAACTATGTCTGAAGAAAGATGACTACCTGGCCCTCTTTGGATGTTTCTAACGTTTAAATCTAAACAAAAAGTGAGATAAAATGAATTTGTCCCTGCAGCGAGGTCTGTAAAATGTTCATAAGTCTGGTTGACCCCCCCCCCCCTGCTGTGCACAGTCTAAAGGCCGCGGGCCACTGAAATACCTGAGATTATAGATTATTCTGGTTCTCCTTACTGCAGGAATGTACAGCATGTGTTATTCATCGTCAACCAAAAAAATGGAGCAACTCCTCGAGACCCCCACAATATATTCTCTGAAGAAAAGCACAGTCTGCTTTAGCTTATTGGGATTTTTCCTATATGTTGCTATAGACACTGAGTTTTTAAAACTACATATGCAACGGCCTTTATCAGTGGGCCATAGGCTTCATTACTGTTGTGACTCCGTCGAAAACAATATGATCGAAGACAGTAAGATAAACACTCAAAGGGTATGAAAAAGACACATTTGCAATAGCTGTGAAACATTCATGCATTTACACACGTCCTAAAAGCTTTACCTCCATGCCAAGCTGCTGGTCACGACTAAAAAAGACAAAAAACAACGAAGATGAAGTTTACAGTCATGCTAGAAGCTCTGCGAGGCTGTAATAGACAGTGGTGCTTTAAGCTAAATGCTAACGTCCTCATGCTAACATGCTATTAAACATAAAGTGGCTTTAATTCGGAAACTATTAATCTTGCGTATATTTAATCGTATCTTTGTGATCAGGTCCATTTTCAGAAGGATTCACGGCCTAAAATAGAACTGCAGAACACATCACAAACTTCAGATGAAACCGTTTTTAAAGTAAATATACTGTACTTAGTCTACCTTTTTGCAATTAAGGAAAACAACACTACAAAGCGTGGCAACGTGTAGAGAACAAAGATTAGGTGTAGCTTCAGACACCCGAACATTAACTTAAATTAAAAGAGACAAATGGATCTCTGCTTTCATATAGAGGCTGTGTACTCCTCTTCATCACCTCTCTTATTTTGTGTAACCACGGAAACTGAAAAAAGAGGCCAGCCTGTGCTTTTGAGCATCATAACGAAGAATATTTAAGAATTGATTGTGGCATCGCTCGTGTGCAGAGCCAAGCAGCTGATGCGTGTATCCCTCCTGGTAATCTGAAGCATGATATCATGTGCATCTTCCTCGTCCTTCGTTCATCTCCACTCATTTCACCCACTTACTCACAGCTGATCGCACACGGCTCCACTGTACGAGTGCGACTGGCTGCAGTCCACCGCATACCCACGCTACTGGAGCAGTTCAGAGGAGAAGCTAAAATGTTCTCTTCTTTTTCTCTGCAGGAATAGTTGCACCTCAAACAGACGAGGGAAGGAGAAGGAGTCGCTATCTTGGCCTTTTTTGTTTTTAAATCGAGGCTGTCCTTCAACCCAACAACTCTCACGCTCTCTGGCTGACTCCCAGCTCCCCCTCACCCCTGGCCCCTAATGGCTGACACACAGCAGTTCTTCACTGGCAAGCTTTATGTTCCTGTACACATGCTAAAGCTGCCAGCTGAAGAACTGCTCTGGTCTGCCCTGCCCCGGATGAATCAAGAAGAGGAAGCGGACCGGGGTTGCTGGGAAGAGGACAGAGGAAGGCGGTGTTTCTGTTTCACACGCTCAGCAGGCAGACTGGACGTAATAACTATAGAGATTGTATCCAACATTGTTTATAATCCTGTGTTTATCACATAGAATGTTTTATTTCAATTTATGTAATATAGAATGTTTATTTTCCATATTTTTCCTAACCAACAGTGTTTATAGTATGTTTATATTTTTACATTTAATTCTGTATTGTCTGTATTTTACACAAGACAATACAGAATTATTTACTTTGTCTTTTTTTCAAAAACCTGCCCATATTGTGTATGATGTACGTGTTTTTAAATAAAGGAATATTTTCTCAGACTTAAGTTTGATTGTTGTCTTCACTACTGCACACTATGAACAACACATACCAGCACTCAAGGCTCTCCTGTCATAAATAACCCACACAAACTAAAATGGAACCAATTAATGTATGCACAAATGTGTCACACTATTCCTTTTAACTTTCAGTCCCTGGTGATCCCATTTAAAGCAGAGCAAGAAAAGTCAAGAGTAAATTGAATTGCTCTTTAAATGTAAAAACCGTCCTCAGATTTTCTATAACTTCTGAAAGTGGTGTTGATCCTCACTTTACACATTAGATTCTCATGTCAACAAGCTGAGATTCAGGACTTAATGAATTCATTTAGATAGTTTTTACATATTAAATGTGAGACCAGAGAGAATAATTATTCTATAACTGCTGTCCTCCATCACCCTTTGCTTCAAGGGATTCCTTCTAAAACTACAATCTTTGACAGACAGGAGGTAAGGAGAGTACTTTAAAAAATAATATTCAGAACTGCAAAGATTCTATTAAATCTAGTAAATGTATTTCACAGTAGCACCAGGTTAATATACTAAGGTTAATATAGTAAACTAAATTGGTTTAATTTAAATATTGTTTTTGTTTAAATTATCTGTCCTGTCTACTAAACACATCCTTTATGTTAAATGTAGTCCTTGTAATTTTAAAAAGTGCACAAAGAATCCAAAAAGGTTCTGACAGATTTGATTGAGCTTTGTTGGTTTGCACTTATACAAATCTAAATAAATGTCAACACTAATCAGTCAGAAGTATAAGTATTAAATGTAGACGGATTATTAGGAAATTACAATGACAGATATTTGTTCATTAGGAAAGATTATCTGAAATTGGAGTGCTGAGGCACATTTAAACTCTAGTGTCTTGGTGGAGTTTCCCTACATCACCACTAGATGGCATGATAGTTCGCAAAACTGAAGATAAAACATGATAGGTACAGTTATGGTGTAGAGATAAACACTACATGATGGAATAGGTTTTGGAACATGTGTTCAGATTGTGTGTTAATAAGGTACTTAACTATTATCAGTATAAAAGGGTGTTCATTATTAAGAATATACTGATTGCTATTAGCTGGCAAAACATCACTTGATATATAATTATTGAAACTGATACATTAATCTGTAGCTTCAATTATGTTGGGTATTTTATAAGTTTAATCGATTTATAATGTTGGAATAACTAAATGTATTGACTTAACTAAAATGTACACATGTTTAGTTAATTACAACTACTTTTAAATTTATACTTCACAAAATGTGAGGTAAATATATTATTATATTTTTTACTACATTAAGTTACTAATTCCTTTTCAGAATAATACACAGATAATACATTCACTTTGATACACGAAGTATATTTGGCTAGTATATTATTGAAATGCAGGACTTGAAATGTTCTCTCAGTGCTGCTTCTTCACTGATATTGAAATCTGTATCTAAAAAAGAGCTGAGAGATATATTTAGTGAAGAAACAGAATGTAAGAAAGAAGGATTACACATAAAGTAAGAGTATGAGGTTAACCAATACATTGTGGTCATGTGTGGGTTCGTTAACATCAACAGAAAGGAGGGTCCTGTACATTTGAAATACCTGAGACAAGTTAAACGAAGTCAATTGGCAGGATATACCTTAAAATGAGGACCTGAGTCAGAAGGGCGTGTTTGTGTTTCACAGGATCCACCTCACTCTCTGTTCATCTCGCTCTGCCTCTGCGCCGCGTCCCTCATGCTGATGCTGATCCAGCTCAAGCTCGCTTCGCGCGTAAATGGAAAGCTTTTACGCACCGCGCGTGTTCTCTTCAAACTATGTAATTGATGTTTTTGCATTGTCACAAGCCTCGCCTGGAGCATAAGTAGGCCTCAGACACTCGGGGTGCGCTGTGGAGATGTAAGGGATGCGGTAATACCTCACTACATAATCTAAAAGAGGAGGGGGGTAAAAAAGCAAGGCGCGCCTCCGGACGCTCACCGCCAACTAAATGTGAGAGGGACTCAGACAACTATAACATCTCGCTCTGCAATAAGAATTCTTGATGGAGTTAGACTGCTTCATTAAGTAGGTTGCCTTAAATATATTAGACTTTATCATGTTGTAATATTTAATCTAATGAGCCCCGATGGAGAATATTTGAAGGACGACTCCTCAGCATCTCCAGCCACAGGACAGCGCCTCGGTCAGACAAAGACTTGGAGACGTATTATCTTTCAGTGATGGCTATCAACACGGACGCAGCCTTTGGGAAAAGCGCCCTTGGTGAGAGGGAAGTTTCCAATCCCACCAACTTCCAGGACACGGAGAAGCTCCTGAGCACCGGGAACACCGAGCCCTCCGGGCAGAGCAACATCAAACCGTCCGACTCCTTCTCCCTCAACATCAGAGGCAGCGTCCGGTCCCTGGATGCGGACCAGAACGGGCACAGATCCCCGCTGAAGTCGGGCTCCATCGGGCATCTGGTGCCCCCTCCCAAGTCCCTGTCCCGGCTCAGCCTGGGCCCGTTGGCCTCCCCGGTGCCGCCGGGGTCCGCACCCCCGACCTACTTCTGGCTCGCCGTGCTGTCCTGTTTCTGCCCCGCCCCGCCGCTAAACATATGTGCCTTGTGGTATGCACATGTGGTGAGTGATATTTACAATTTACTTCAAAATATCACAATGTAGAGGAATATATGTCTGTGTTGCAGATGTTTGGGTTTATTCCTTAAACAGTTTCCAACACTACAAGTGATTTTTCCTTCTGTTGAGTTTAAATAATTCATTACTCTCTTCCTTTCGTTTTCCATTAGTCGCATTCTGTTCTCCATACAGGAGATTTAGAAGGAGCAAGGAAGTATGGGCGCCTGTCTATGCTGCTCAGCTGTCTGGCGATACTGCTGGGTGTGGCTGTCATCATCCTCATAGCGGTTACAATAGGTATGGAAGAAATACATTCTTCAAAAGGCTGTAAATGAATGTAAAATGTAAATGTCTTCATTTCTACTTTTCTCTGATTCTCAGAGCACCAGAATTAAACTGTGGGATGGACGGAGTCACATTTAACTTCATCTGATCTCACATTTGCACAGAAGAGTGGAGGAGGAAGAACGTTTTGAAAAAATTGAAAAAGCACAAAATCTGTTGAAAACAAGCTGAAGAGACTCTTATGTAAAACATATTGCTTTTTCTGCTATGGACGAGAGAAAGAAGAAGGAAAGAAGTCACAGGCTGTTTCTCTTTTTCCGGCAACACTCATGTCTCATCATAAGTAACCCACAAACTCAGGAACAAAGTGAGGAAAACGAGCGCTGCACACAGTTAGTGTTGTCGGATCATCAGACTGCACATGCTGTGGAGAAAGTGTAACTGCTCCTAGTCCAAACTACTGGTGCACTGAAGTACTTTATAACTGCATTTGCTTATTAAAAAAAGGAATTGTTAAATAAGACTAAAGAAGAAGATACCATCATCATTAACAAAAGTAACACATAAGAGTTATATGCAATGTAAAGATAAAAAAAAACACCCTCTTGAGGTCAAAACAAAAGGCATCAGTGCACCTCTAGTTTGTAACTGCCTGCCCTGTTTTTCTTAACATTGGCAACAAAGTACGGACCAACTGTGGGAGGATGTATATACTGATTTCATACACTGTTTACATGCAACTAATGTACCCGTTAACGCCCTGCTGCAGCCATAGTGTGATACCTTGCTTTGCGTGCTACAATATACTGCAAGATATGAATGGGGCTGCTCTCCCTGTATGCACTGTTATTGGCACTCTGATGTTTATACATTTATACTGTATGACTGGTTAACTGTGCATGTCGGAAATAAACTTGAATGAGCATGACAAACTTGAAAGTGAGCTCATCACCTTTATTTGACAAGTGCCGCCAATACTTTATAAAGAAGTATGACGTTGACAGTACACAAGGTAAAATAGGACTTCATACATTTACAAAGAGTTACAATTACAACAGGATATAAGCAGCAATATATATCTTCCAAGATGGAATTTTTTTACATTATTTCAAAAATAAATAAACTCTGAACTGAGAGTTGAACAATTTCAATTAAGACTTGTTAAACTGATGCTTAAGCGTAGGAAATAGCAATATGAAAACATTTTAAATGCCTCAAAATGCAATGAATCTTTTTTTTCTTTAAGAAAGCGATGGTCCGTCAGCGAATCAGTGGAAAGTGTAGAGCAACAGGAGGATTGTGCAGACGCCGATCACCCCGCCTAGAATTAAAGAGTCCCGCCTCTTGCGCAAATTTATTTTCTGGATGAGACTGTTGATGGAGGGGAAGCGATCTGAGGGGCGGGGGAAGTGTGGTGAAGGAAAATAATTCAGTTCAAACTCAGCCTGTCAGCCTGTCTCGCAGTAAGACAGTAAAGCAGAAGGGGAAAACAACAGCGGTGATCCCAACACAAAGGGGAGTAAATGGAGCTTAATGGTGAGTCATATCAGATTAAGATAGAAAACTAAGTAAAGAACGTCAGGTGAAAGAAAACTAAGACACATGATCGAAATGATTAAAGGATACTGGCCAAAGTTGTGACCCTGGTTTGAATGGACTTAAACATCCCACGCTGAAATGTGATGTTCTCTTTGGTAGCCATGGCGATACTGGTAAGAAGAAGAAGAAGAAGAAACCATGAGGGATTAGTTGATTTGAAAATATGCACACATCTGTCTTCACAGCATCACCGAGTAATGTTTCAGCTCAGCTAAAAAGAAGGCAGGCAGGATTGGTTTGCTCTAATAGACCTGTGTGTGTGTGTGTGTGTGTGTGTGTGTGTGTGTGTGTGTGTGTGTGTGTGTGTGTGTGTGTGTGTGTGTGTGTGTGTGTGTGTGTGTGTGTGTGTGTGTGTGTGTGTGTGTGTCTGATGTGGTGTAGTGTGTTACGTAGTAGTAGTAGTCTAAATTTGGATGTGAGTGAATGAAGAAAGAGAAGGGCGGAACAATACATCTTACCTTATTGCATTGTCAATAAGACTATCTGAGCTGTAAACAGAAAAACAGGGAAAAAGAAGAGATCAAAAAAATTAAAGTCAGATCAAATCGACTCAAAAAAGGTTATTTTATAGTTATATGCCCACGAGAACCATACCTAAAACCATATAAATACTTCCACAATTACATGAATCCTTTGCCGTCCATCACTTTAAAACAAAACGTTCTTTATATATTATATAAACGGCATATCTCCTGGTTTTAGAGTCAGGGAATTATACAACAGGATGCAGGGAAAGCCCGTGCTCTGAAACCACACAGCTCTTAGAGTCTATTATCATAAAAGGAGCACTTCCTGCGAGACTGGGCGAAAAGTGCTGGTTAATGGAGGATTTTTGGGAAAGTCAGAATGTGATTGGTAAAATACAAGCTTCCATCCAAGCTGAAGCCAATTCATCTCAATGATATAACAACGTTTGCATTCGTTAGCATTGTGTCTCACAGTTAACGACAAATCATTTACATTTCAGTGTAATAAACTACAAAACTTGACCTGTAAGTAAAGTTGACTAAATGAGAATAATAAAAGGGACACACAGAGCCCACTCCACAGGCTGACTCTGAATGATTACTGTATATCCACAAACCCCCCTCTGAATTACCTTCAACCCATCAGAGAAATAAACTGAAGGATGACATACTAAAGTGCAATGAACACATAGACGGTAACCTGATCTGGTGTTATTTGTTTTAGGTGCACACAGCGGAGCGGACACTGAACTCACGCAGGAGGTTTACATCAGCGGCCATTAGCTGCTGGGATAAGTGACGGGGGGAAAAATGAAGTGTTCAGTCAGAGCCGAGCCGACCATATAAGGTCAGCGGCGTGCATCCTGGCCGACTCCACTGGAGAGCGAAAATCAATACTGCGCTTCATACTTCCTCCTCATCTATCCGTCCATCTCTCCCACTATCTGTCTGATGCTCTCCTACGCTTTCTATTCTCTGCAGATTGCCTTCTTTGGGCTCCTTTATCTTTTCTCTCTTTACAAGAGACTACTGATCTGCATGAAACTACTTCACAAAGTGGTCTGATCACCGGTTTGTAAAACCTGGTTTGAACGCACCTGCCTTGTTTGACGGTGACACTTTTCGAGGTTTAAAGCTTCAAAACTCAGCTGAGAAAAAAAACATTTTCGACATCATGTGCTTCAGACCTGTCCGAGTGTGACAGTAGGCTGGAGGCTTGCCTTTGTTGTTCTGTACATAACAGCAAGGCAGCAGATTTACAAACTAAATGCATTTACATTATATCGACAAAACAAAACCTGTACGTCATAAAACATTTATCTTAATAACTGTATATCAACAAATTATCTTAAATAAAATAACAATCTATTGAAATGGATTGTTCTTGATCGCCTGGTTAAAAGCATAGGGATGCTTAAAGGTTTAAACATGGTTGCTCTGACAGCAATTACATTTAGGTGGGAAACCCTTCTGTCCTGTTGTGGCTGAGGGTTTCAACTTTTAGTTTTCGATATTTAGTCAAGACTATTATAATTATTTAACTGAAAACACACCAACACAACAACATATATTTCTGTTGTTGGCAATCAGGGAAAGATAGGTGTCGAGACTGAGTACGATGTCGAAGCAACGTTTAATTAGGACAGGGCAATATGATTCAATTCACATTTGATATTTTTGACCAAATACCAGAATATCCATATCAGGTTAACCATTAAAGCTTTTTCCAGGAATATTTTCACAATAAGAATTTTGAAAAGTAATCAAAATGTGGATTTAATGACAAAGCGAGTAAAGGGAAATGACAGAACAGTCCGGTGATTACAGAAAAAGACACCACTTCACTGAAATGCTGCCTTTAAAACCGGGAAACAAAACACAAGGGATACTCTGATATCCAAAATCTAGAGACAACATCAAGTCTCATATCACAACATCGATATATTATTGATATACTGCACAAACCTTGGTTCAATTTCTGCACACAAGTCTTTTCACTGCACATTCATCTGAGTATATAAAGTTACGTTTCTGAAGGGTTTCATAACGTCCTCTTCTCTGATGTCTTTCCTCTCCAGGTGATATCTGAGAAAATATCTCTCAGGGTGAAAAATGTGTGTTTCTGGAACAAACTGAGCACATTGGAGAAAGGAACGACTGCAAGGTGACAGCAGGGTTATCTTTCTCTCAGGCTGTGGCCAGTGGGTGGTTTATTTTGAAATCATTACTCATGTTTCAGAGGTTATCACAAAGCACATATCTGAACTTGATTTACCGGTTTCAATCTCTTGAAATCCTGTCATCTCAACAGGACCAATCACAGCCAAATGCAGTTTGGCACTGTCAGTAATGTTACTGTTGGTACCAACTCAGGATCAATGGGTTCAGGGAACAGCGTTAACATTAGCCGAGTTAAGAGCACAGACTTACTGGTCACACAGGACTCCGTTTTAATGTGTCCTGTGAGTCAGCTGATATTCACTGCTAATGCCTCGGCTGTTTATGATCAATGTTGTTGTTTTTTTTGCTATTCTATCTTTCTCTCCTTCCTTTTTCAATTCCTTTTTTCTCTTATGTAACTACTCTTTAACAGATTAGGAACCACACAGCTTTATGAATTTGATATTAAAGAAAGTGTTACCTTTTCTTTTTGTTTTAAGATGAGCGCTGGGAAGGATACTTTGAGCAAAGATGCTTTTGTTTGAGCTTCCATTTTTTTTTTGTGCACAAAATGCCAATTTCTCTCAAATAATGACCTCACATCGGGTAAAATCAACGTACGATAGTATTTGGCAACTTAATCCATCCACCTGACATGTGGGATACCAACATGCTTAGTAAACAGCATGACTAATACACAGGTGTGCCCCGGCCTTTGACAATATAAGCCCACTCTAAAATATGCAGTTTTATCACACAATACAATGCCCACATGTCCAGTTTTGGGTAATCATACTCCAAATTCAAACAATTAAATAAAATGGCGGCTACTATAATTATGAAGGAGGGACAATACATTTATAATAATAATAAATTCAATTTTTATAGGGATCTTCTGGGACACAAAGTCGCTTCTATATGATCTTGGCTGTAGCCCTCGGCTCCATGTTCGAATGTGTTTCTAAGTTCAAATGTTTTTTTAAAGAAATCTCTTACTTTCGGAGATGTTCATGTTCCTTCAGGAAGAGCTCAGTCCTCCTGTTATTCACTCCTGTGCTGCTCTTGTAGGACCTGAGAAAGTGAGAGACGTTGAATGATGATTAAATGATTTTTTTTTTTAAAGTTAAGGCGACACCAAAGTTATGATAATTCATCCTGAGGGGGTCAATGAGGGAGTGTAGATCATTTCATGGCAATCTATCCAAAGGATGTTAAGAAACGTAGCTTGAAACTTTGGTCTGAAAACAGAACGACATCAACAAGTCGATCAATATAAATCCAGTTCACACAAAGCAGGCAAGAGTCTTTATATCACATTACTCAGATGTGAAGGGTTTTATTCCTTTGACCCATTAAGCAGCTTGACAGTTGGCTTACAGAAGAAGTAAGAAACAACTTTCTCCTCCATCTTTACTTCAGCATGCAGCATTATTTCACTCACTCCTATTAACTGATGACTTGATGCTAATTACGTACTTCCTGCGTCAAGGCTTTTAAGTGATTAGCTCTGCTTAACCCTCAACTCATCCTTCTCTTATTTACATCGTCCCCTCCCTATTTGGACTGAATTCATGATCACTATTTAGATCATCAATTAATCATCCCTTTCCTTTTCTGCTGCCCCCCCGCCCCTTCACTGTTCCTCCATACATCTCACCTCCATGGGAATAATTACAATCGACTCTTATCATGGCTGTTATCAGTCAGCATCAGATCAGGAAAGTGTCTCCCCCCTTTCCTCTCTACTGCTCTCACTCTACTCTCCTGATAAAGCATTTCTCAGGCTGGCCACATGTAACCACTCTCCCTCCGTTTGGGCTGAATGAAAGCCTTGTGGTTTGATTTACTGTAGAAGGCACTTAGGAAATATATCCCCAGAGAAAGAGAGAGGGATACAAGATACACAGAGAGAGATGGAGAGAAAGAAGGAGACAATGAGAGGAGGTGCCTCTCATTAGAGGATGAAACGTGATAGAAAAGATGGAAATTATCCAAGGGTGGGGGAGATCAACAACAAACTGGACATTTCTGCCTCCTGCTGGTTGAGAATAACATGACGTCTACAGAGCAGGGGGGAAAGAAGGAAAGAAGGAAAAGAAGGGATTTGGGATATTTTGGAGAGCCAGATACAAAAAGAAATACATTAATGAAATTACATTTAAAGATAAAGATACCATACATTTGGATATCTTTTTTTGTTTGGTTTGATTAAATCATTAAAAACAACATTTTTAAATCAATTGATGGTACATTTGTTTTGCAAAGATTGTCAAATATTCACTGGTTTTCTTTGTCTCCTACAATTGTAAATGTTTGGACTTTAAAGCTATTTAAATACATCACTTTCCCTCTGAGAACGTTCAGGGTAATACTTACATATACTAGTGCTGATACCACAACAGGATTAGGGTTAGGGAATTAGAGAAAAGCTCATATTTTCAACAGAGCAGAGTAGACTACTTCTTAAGAAAGAAATGAGTCAATGACAGCCACTGAAATTAATACAGGCTATAGAATATATCAAATATAAATATACACATTGTATTTTTATTGTCAAAAGGTTCTTACTCAATGTCTCTGTGAACAGAGCCTAGTAGGTCCTCTCGCTCTCGCAAACTGAAGAAGTTGCTTTTGGTTTTGTGGAATTCTTGAGTATAGTCCTGTGGGATAAAACAAAATAAAAAAATAAAAACAAAGATACATTTAAAACATATTTACATGTGAAGCTGAAACACTTTTCAACCACAGAAAATACCAAATACAAATAAGTGAAGTAATGGCATTTACCTGTAGGATGTCTCTGTGTCTCTGTAAGGTGTGCATCAGGGCTGCGTTATGCGATACAACTCCCGGAGTATTTGTGTACTCGGCCATCTTGTCATTGACTGCTGAAAGCTGCAAAACAAAAAGGATAACAATAAATGCAAGGAGCCATTAAAACATACACTTTTGGTAGTAAGCCATCTTAAACGTCTCACTAGTATTTGAATTACTTGGAAAAATTCTAAATAGAGAATACGAAAGTGAAATTAATTTCAAAGTAAACACGAATGTATAATAATATGCATACACCTCAATTCTGATCTAGTTTGTAATTGAAATATAAACTGTAGTGCTTGATATACAATCAGATGTGGCTGCCAACTTCTTTTTCTGTAAACAAATATTGTTAATAATGAAATTCCCTTAAATATTTTCGGCATCACATCGACTCTGTCCCCTGGGCTTGAGCCTTTATGGCTGCTTCTGGAGAGGACCCTATATCCCATCATATATGTGTGTGATATTTGACTTACATTGGCCAATAGCTGCTCCAGCTCAGTTGTCATGGCCACGAGCATATTGTCTTGAGATGAGCCGACAGAACCAGGCCTGATTTAAGGGGAAAAAAGAAAGGATAATAAAGTACTAGCTCAAGTAAAATTAAAACATTCTGTCGTACAAACTATTACAAAAAACTCAGTTAAATTTTAGGCAAGTGCTTAAAAATCTATTAATTTCTATATCCAAGCTTAGTAAAGAGTACATTCACATTGCTAACGTAAAATGAGTTTTGTCAGTCGACCTGCTGTCTCTCGTCCTCTGGTCCTTGCTGCTGCTGCTGCTGTAGCTGGTGCAGAGTTTACTGAAGGACACCAGCTTGAGATCCAGCTCATTCTCCAGCTGTCTGGCTTGTTTACGCAAATCTGGGTGAAAAAACAGAAAAAACACTCAAGAAAAACATCTTTTGATGGAATAAGACATTTCATAACTGACCAAAAGTTTCTATTTAAAAATAGAAAAATTGGCAATAGGAAGTGGACAGGATAAGAAGCATTATACAATACAAATATAACATTATACAATACAAATATAACATTTGCAACTAAGACGTTTTTCTTAATAGTTTTAAGTTGTACTGTAAGACACAAAGCACGTCTGTAACAGATTTCAATCATCCGAACAAATTATGTGGTATTTGTCTTTATGGTTGTATAGTCTTTACTTAGGTACAAATGGGATTAAGAAGTAAAAAGAAAACAATGCATAATTCAAACTCTTTGTTTTTACTGCTGACGACACTGGAGAAAACTTTGAATTAAAGTTATTTTTAACTTGTTTCTTTTTCTCTGCAAAGTCGTAGCAAAGGGTTAATGAGCCAAGGTGAGTTAAACAAACCTGTCTAAAATGTAAGCACCTGAAAGGAGTAGCTACATTTAAAACAGCACTTTACTGTTAAAAACTTGAAGAGATGTTTTTATCACTATAAATTAATTTGTAATCAAGCTCTTTAATACTACAAACCAAAAAGGGGACAGTATCAACAAAGCTAACAATGCAATTATTGCATTAAACGTATCGAGTAAAAAAGCAACTTACAGAGCTTAATAACGTAAACTGTTAAAGTTCGACGCAACAAGCTAACAGGTTGACGTTAGCCTAAAACAGCTGAAGATATTCCTTTTCGGCACGAATACAACGTTTATTATCTTAACGTCTCACGGAACATGTTAAATGTGTCTGACCTTACTCGGTAAAACAATAACAGATGTACATTTGCACAGTTTTCATAAATTATATGCTGAAACACAATGTACCTTCCCAGTAGTTGCTGCTGGTCGCCATGTTTGTTGACATGTCATCATCAGCCGCCAAGATGAACCAACTGTCGCAAATTATAATTTGAGCCACAGCGTCCTCTGCTGTATTCCGGCTGCAAGTGAACCATTTACTGAACCAAATCAATATCTCTCATTATTATATCATCCCGAGGGTCAAAATGTGAAACACAACACCAGAGAGGCCTAATAGCCTCATTGCTTAATAATTGAAATACACTCGTCTCTGGACAACAAAACGGTTGTTTTCCCTGATGTAGCTCCATATCGATGACTGTTCATCGACTAAAGTGGGCTAGTACAAGTAGGCTACCAACATAAAACCTCCCATTACAAGTAATGGATTCAGATTTCAAAGTCATAACAGAACTTCAATATTATCAGTGAAATGCACTTATATCAATTAAAGTCAGCAAAATTGAAATGGCAGAACGGCTGATGATTTAATTAAATTGCTTATGCAGCTATACTCAACAGGGCTTTTGTGCAGTTTTTAAGCTTTATATATCCAGGCTATTTAAGTAGCTTCATTTTGAATTACTTGTTCTTTACCACTTTATTGTCTTGTAAACTTGTTCTACTCCACTAAATCTCAGAGGAAAAGATTGTGCAGTTAATTCCACTACATTTATGTGACAGATACAGATTATAAAAACAAATAAACTAATGAATTATTTGTTTAATAATTCATTATTATTATATCCTTAGTCTTGGTTTCTGTCAATCTTAGTTTATTCGCCTATAGTTCTGGGTCGATGCTTCTGACCCTTGAACTCCCAATTTAAACTGTAATAATGTATTATTTTGTTATTTTTGTGAAATGTATGTCGTTTGTGAAATGTAACCTTTTAATGTATTATATTTTAAAATGTCATTGTAAGTTGTTCATTTTAGTTGACATTTTATATATTCTGTGTTAACTTATCCCAGATCTGATTTGTATTTAAGAAGTCTATCCCAAGACACCATATTTCTTTATTGTCATTTTATGGACATTTCCCCAAAATGTTGTCATATTTGGTCATTTTGGATATTTGACACCAAGACCAATTGTATTTAAGTTTCTTGCATTTAAACAACCTTCTGACAGATCAGTGAGGTCTAAAGAAATGAATTCTTAACCAAATTTCAACAATTTATAAATGGGATTTACTTAATAAGTTTAAGTTTCGCCGGTTGTTGGTTGTAATTTGAGTTTTGCTGCTCACCAGTGGTGTCAAAGTGACACTATGTAAAGACAAGACACAGATGATTAAAGTACATCAGTCGTATTGTGAATCTCTCGGTTTCTTTGCTCATTCTCTTTATTCATCGTCTTGAACATAGGCAGTCATGGAAATCACAGTAACAGCAAGACTGGTGATCATGTTGCTGTAGAAAACAATGACGATGAAGATGATGATGATGCCGTCAATGGTGGAGATGAAAAAAAGCAAAAACTTTGAGATGTTTTCACCGTTCTGCAGCCAACCTCGGCAGATGTTGCATCTCTTTCAAACTGATTCAGCCTATTCAATCAATTCTGTCATTCCTGTTTTCTGTCTTTCTTACATCTTTCCTCTTTTTGTTGATGTTTCTTTAAAAAATGCAAAAGTGCTGTGAACAACTGACACCAGTAAGCACCTGAAGTCCAGCCAGGGATCCTGCTTTGACTAGCCGGACCGACGGGGCCGGGGAGATGGAGGTTGGGGGAGAAAAGTAAGAGAAGGGGGGATGGAAGTGCAGGAGGAAGGAGAAGAGGAAGAGTAGGAGAAGATGAGGAAGTCTGATGGAAATGTTCCCTTCTCAGTGCTGGATCCTCCTGATGGACTGAATCTGGGGAGTCTGGGAGTGGGAGCCAAACTCACGGTAACACTTGTACTCTCCTCCGCGGCAGTCGGACTCCATGATGTACTGGTAGCCACGGTAGCCAGGGAACTGGTAGCACACAAAACTGCAGGAAAAAACAAGAAAATGCTTATTAAATGCAACATAAAGTTATGTAAGTAGGTAAAAGTTCCTATAGCTAATGTGTGTACAGTATTTCCAGTCAGAGTGCGTTTTGGTGCTCAGGACTAACTGAAGGTGTGTAAAGCTTCAAATCAAGGATCAGGAAGATGGACTTACGCTCCACCCTGGATTTGCATGGATTGAACCTCGTTGTTCATCCATCCCATGGCCTGCAGAGAGGGGTAGTCATCGCACAGCTCGAACTGACGACCGCTCATGTTCTCCTTCTCGAAGATGGTCATGCGGGACTCCTTGTGGTTCTGTACAAAGGAGAAGAAAAGAGGTTCAGCACAATTTGAGATGTAGCTCAGCCTAAAATGAGCTTATAGGGTTGTAACTCGGTTGAGTGTTAAACATACAGCACAGCAGATGGGCCTGAAGGAGATCATCCTCTCAATGCGGTAGGAGTTGCTGCCACTGTAGGCCTCGAAGCGAGGGTAGTCTCCCTTCTCCAGGACGAACTGCTGGCCGCAGAAGCTGGAGTGCTCGTAGCCCACCCAGCTGCAAGCAGAGAATGAAAAAAAGTCAGGAAACCATACAAAAATAGAAAATCAGCACACTTTCAGAAATAAATTTGCTCCATTTTTGTTGTTGAGGATTTCAAAAAGTGAGGTTATCTGAGAACTTACGCGCCACACTCGACCTTCAGGGAGCGGATGTTCTCCACACCGCACTCCATGATGTTCTGGCAGCAGGCGGTGAACTCCATACGCCTTCCCTGGAAGTACTCCTGATCGTACACGGTGATCTAAAAAACACGACAAAATGCCCAAGTTAGTTTACAGTTGCCCAAAAATGGCATAACAATTCAAACTGTGCCTAATGCTGATGGGTAATGTATTGTTGGGCGTGTGCTTACCTTCCAAGGGCCCATGGGCATGGGGTTAATCTGAGCCATTATGTCTAGTTTTTCAGTAGTATCTGTGGAGAAATTCAAAGTAAGTACGACCCTCGGACAGAAGTAAAACCAACCTGTATAACGAACAACAACTTTTTTTTCCTCCTGCATGCTGCTCTGGGCGGCACTTTAGCTTTCTCTAAGGCTTGTTTCTCACATAAAACGACAGCATAAAGCTCCTATTTTCTATCTTTGATTTGTTTAAAAATATGACTCCATTATTTGCAGTAAAGGTTAAAAACAAGCCACTCTGTCTTCACTGTAGCTATTTAAGACTAGCTGCTGATATATTGCATTAGAGAGCCTTACATCACTTCCATAGATTGGGAAACTGTGCTGTATTGTTAACTGGTTTGACCTACCCAAACTGGTGAACTGTGTTTCGTAGAGTTCCACTGAACGATCTGCCGAGAAGGTGTGTGTGGGAGTTTATATACACCCATGGGTGACAGGGGCCGGAGGGGCGATGCACGCTGGACTCATGTCAGCACTTTGCTTTGGACTCCATTGTTTTGTTGTTTGAGCCACAGAGGGGTTAACGCACAGACACACCGTGATTCAAGCAAACACAAAGAGGACAAACGTCTATACTGCATGGTGGTAAATCTTATGCTGGCAAAAAAACAGGTAGCTTTCTCCACCAGTTTGAAAGTCCAGAGATACAACTGTTTATGTTTCTTTATGATTTGTTTTGTTCATCCAATCTTTTTTTTTTAGGATTCATGTTTTATTGGGATATTCAGATTTATAAAATAAAATGAAATAACCCTAGTTGTAAGACCCTGTACAGGGTACATCACTACAAACATGTGTATTGATCTGTCTAGACTAGTAGACCATTTGAAAATGTATTTTTATTCTATCCCTTTTAGTTTATTTCTTCACATACCTTATCTTTGTTTAAGTCTGTAGTATGTGTTTTTTGAACATATTTAAAGGATGTCCATCATGCCTAAAACACATCAAGTCTGCTTGGCTGTGCGTGATTTTTTATTATTAATGTTTGTGAAAGGACTCAGATCAATTGTTTGTCTACACTGTGTTGACTCGTTTAAAAAATGCCTTTCAACCGTAATCTGATTTCCTGAAACATAATACCAAGTTTCTTGATGGCTGGAAAAACAGGATCAATGACATTTACATTGGATTTAAAACAGAAGGACAGTGGCTGTGTTGGATATTGAATCCAACTCTTTAATTGGTCACGGCAAAAACACAGCAATAATTAATTGTGTAAAATAAGAAAGCAAAGAGCGAACAAACAGAAAGCACTGCAAAATACACATTTAGGAATGGCTTACATAGGTCAGCACATCAGCCAGACTCCCTGTCTGTGTATGTGTATGTGTGTGTGTGTGTGTGTGTGTGTGTGTGTGTGTGTGTGTGTGTGTGTGTGTGTGTGTGTGTGTGTGTGTGTGTGTGTGTGTGTGTGTGTGTGTGTGTGTGTGTATCCATGTAATTCCCTGTGTACTAGAGAGTAGAATGTATAGAAATAATAAGATGAATATTTTGAATATAACATGTTTCTTATCAATATAGATGTATTTAGCTCAGATTGTGTGTGTGTGTGTGTGTGTGTGTGTGTGTGTGTGTGTGTGTGTGTGTGTGTGTGTGTGTGTGTGTGTGTGTGTGTGTGTGTGTTTCTGCTGATGATAGCACCAGCAGCTCAGACGTGACAAAGGGACTAGCAAACTCAGCAGGCCGATGTGAAGAGCCCACAGTGACAGTGATTCTCAATGAACATAACAACACCTCACTTTCTTATACGTTCACAGACCAACCTGCGGCAGCAATCTCATCTTTAGTAATTGTTGTCATTTTTATTGGATTGAGGTTTCAGATCAGTGGGGACTGGCTCGATTGAGAGCAGCTTTGTGCATTTCTCCTATTGGCCAATCAGGGTACAGCCTACAATATCATGGTAAACATCTGCGGTTTGCAAGAGATAAATACCAGTTAGCAGTCAATAACCCTGTCTAATACCCACATCCACACAACACCGTAAAGGTTAGAGCCTTAACAATGTCATGAAATTCACATGTTATCACTCCAAACTAGTTAAACTGCTGTTACTACTTGCCTTTTCTTTATTATTATTTTTTACAATATATATATTGTTTATATAGTAGGCCTAATTTACAGTATTATACTAAAAAACATCATTACATATAGTCAGTGCAGAGCCATAAGAAGCATTAATGCAGCTGGATAAGGACTTCCTGGACTTACTCACTCACCTGAAATCTCCTTATAATCTTAATATATATAGGCCACTCTTTGTCTTACTGTAACAGGGGCTTAGCTGGTGTGGCTGCTGTTGCAGCTACAGTTGCTTGGTTATTGTTATCCTCACACACAGGGCCACTGCAGAGCTGTGATGGATAGTCATGTGTGACTGAGATCTCCCGTGAGTCATGCAGAGACTTTACATGCATCAGTAAAGACGGAGAGAGAGACATAAATAGGATAATTAAAACCTCCCCTCAGTTGTTTCCATTCTACTCTCTCTTCCGCTCCTACCAATGGGTTACAAAGGTCTGACGTATTTTATTTACACCACAGTGAACATATCTGTAAATCTAGAGGAAATGCAGAGCTGAATGTATCAATGTATTTTATAATATTTGGTTGATGAGGCTGCAGGTAGACTTTTAGGGGGCTAGTTGTATTACAATCAGTGCTGCCAACACATTAGTGTAAAAATACTCCATTACAAACAACAGTCTTGCATTCAATCCTATAGGAACTACAAAACAGTACCCTCTCCCTCCTAGAGGTGGTGATATTTTCAACTTGCTCTGCAGAGAGGCCTTTTGGATTCACAGTCTTAGGTTTAACCTTTTCTTTAAAGTTTATTTCACGTGATGTATGCAATAAGCCTAAACTTGTTCTTTGTAGGCCTGATTTTGTTACACACAACTGTTTTCTTTTGTTTCTGGTGTGATTATCATCCAGGGGGTGTGGCACTTTGACATTGCTTTGGGATCGCATGCTCGGACCCATTATCCAATTGATTTGAAATCCTTTAACCAATTATCCAATCAAAATGTTACACCCGGTTAACCTTATGTGTGCTTTTCCGTGTTCAAACATTTGTCAGTTGGTTTTCTGTCAGGGGCGGACTGGCCATTAGGAATACCGGGAGTTTCCCCGGTGGGCCGGTGCTGTGTGTTGGCCGGAGGGCCAAAAACAAAAATAATAATAAAAAAATCCTACCGGCCCACATTTGTAAGTGTTCCGGCCACTCCCTTTTTTTTTTTTTGATTACCTAAATCCTACCGGCCCACATTTGTAAGTGTTCCGGCCACTCCCTTTTTTTTTTTTTGCTTACCTAAATCCTACCGGCCCAAATTTGTAAATGTTCCGGCCCAGCCCAGCCCAGCCCAGCCCAGTGGGCCACACCCCACTGGGGTTCAGGGGGAGTGGCTATACGGCTGTACCCGTAGGATAGAAAAGGGGTGAAGTGACGTCTGACTCAGAGGTCGAGCAGCTGTGGAGAAGAACGTCTTGCCCACATTCTGTTACTGAGTTTAGGATAGTTAGCTAGCAGGTTTATTGTTTTGGGTGCAGTCACTTTTGCCTCCACTTGCTGTTCAAATAAATGTTGAAAGAAAAAGTAAATCTGTTTACTGTTCTGTTTCATATGGGTGTTGAAGAAGAAGAAGAAGAAGAAGAAGAAGAAGAAGAAGAAGAAGAAGAAGAAGAAGAAGAAGAAGAAGAATTTGGAGGGAAGAAACCTTTTTTAATGGTCACACATGCAGAGCACGCAGCACACACAGTGAAATGTTTTCTCTGCTTTTAGCCCATCCTAGTACCAGGAGTCTAGTACTAGGAGCAGTGGGCAGCTATTGTACAGCACCCAGGGAGCAATGGGAGTGAGGGGGGAAGGGGGATGTCCGGTGCCTTTCTCAAGGGCACCACGGCAGGGCAGGAGGTGAACTGGGACCTCTCNAAAAAAAAAAAAGTTAAATGAAAAAAATATATATATATTTTTTTATTTTGCCTAAATCCTACCGGCCCACATTTGTAAGTATTCCGGCCACTTCCTTTTTTTTTTTTTTGCTTACCTAAATCCTACCGGTCCACATTTGTAAGTGGGCCGGCCCAGCCGTTTTGCCGTTGGCTACCTTTGTTCTATCAGTTTCAATTTCACACATCAGGCCCGTAGCAGCTGTCACTGCGCAGTGAACGATCAGGAGTGAGTGACTGAGAGACCTAGCTGGCAGTTGCTTACAGATGGATAAACAAGCTCCAAAGCGTAAAGGCGTTTTTGTATAGTTTGTGTATACAGTTACAGACAGTATACAGTATTGTAGCGAGCCCTGGGTTCAGAGGGAGGGACTTGTATAGGCGGGGGGTGGCAGGGAAACGGGGTTCAGGGGGAGTGGCTGTACGGCTGTACCCGTAGGATAGAAAAGGAGGAAGTGACGTCTGACTCAGAGGTCGCGCGGCTGTGGAGAAGAACGTGTTGCCCACATTCTGTTACTGAGTTTAGGCTAGTTAGCTAGCAGGTTTATTGTTTTGGGTGCAGTCACTTTTGCCTCCACTTGCTGTTCAAATAAATGTTGAAAGAAAAAGTAAATCTGTTTACATTTCTGTTTTATATGGGTGTTCAAGAAGAATTGGGAGGGATGAAGCCCTCTTTAATGGTCACACATGCAGAGCACACAGCACACACAGTGAAATGTGTTCTCTGCTTTTAACCCATAGTACCAGGAGTCTAGTACTAGGAGCAGTGGGCAGCTATTGTACAGCGCCCGGGGAGCAATGGGAGTGAGGGGGGAAGGGGGATGTCCGGTGCCTTGCTCAAGGGCACCACGGCAGGGCAGGAGGTGAACTGGGACCTCTCCAAGTAGAAGTCCACACTCCAAATGTAGGTCTGGTCGGGGACTTGAACCGGCGACCCTACGGCTCACAGTCCAAGCCCCTTCTGACTGCCATAGATTTAGTCCCTAATTTTGCTCTCAAAGTGCACCAGATTGATGCATTTAACTTCAACATTTAAAAAAAAATCTTCCCAGGGGAGCTTGCCCCCGGACCCCCCTAGAGAAGGTGAGGTCCACCACCTGCCCACAACCCCTGTTAAATTGTCTCACCCACATTGAGGATGCTTCCTACGCCCATGTTTTATTCCATGTGTCAAGTCAGGCAAATTGGGTCAAAATGTTATTGTTTCAATGACCTGTTAACATTAAAATCACTAAATATATGCTGTAACTATTTTTCTCTAGGCAACTCAAGGGCTCAGGTAATGTGATTACTATATGAATAATTGTCCAAAATAACATAAAATGCATAGGGTTTTTTGTTAAGTACCATACTTTCGTCGCCGGCCGGCCGAAACATGCCGCGCATTAAGTGGGCCTGTCTGTCAATTAATCCCCGGGCCACTTTCCCCCCCCAGTCCGCCCCTGTTTTCTGTTGGCACATCAGTCTGCCCCAGTCCCTTATTTGAGCTTTTCTAGAAATTAGACTTACTTGATAGGCCTACATCATTCGGCCCTGAAAGCGTTGTTTCGTAGTCAATGTGACTTTACCTTATAAACCGTCTGTGTTTGTGTTCGACTTAATGCTCATGTTTGAATGCACTTTTCGCTGTGCTTATGGCCTTAAACAGTTCAGATGACAGAAGGGTCGATGAATTCAAAATGACACTTTCTCATTAATAGCCCATTTGTCATCTGCATGTTTGATGCGCGCATTTTGTCGGTTGAAGCGCAGATTGCGCGCAGCAGCATCCCCCCCTCCCTCCTTGACAGCAACGACCATCTGCCGCCTCTTTTTCAATTTCAAACAGCAAATTATTTCCCTGATACTTCCAGCTCCCCTTGACACAAGAGAAACAGCGCCTTGGAGAGCAGCTGCGCCAAAAAAGGAGCAGAGGTCCCCGCGCTCTCCTCACCAAACACTGCGCTGCACCGCTCTGCATGCTCAGACACAGACTGCAGGCTCATGAAGACGAAGCGGATTTGAATTAAGCACCGGATAACATACAGCAAGTGTGCATCCTTCGGCGAGGGAGGGAGAGAGGGGAGGCAACTGTTTAGTGTCTTGGAAGCCCTGGGTTAGTCGGGGGGAGGAGGAGCGGAGAATGAGCTATTCTTGTACCAGAAGAGGCAACAGCCAGGACCCGGCAACAGCTAAGAAGCCTGTCGGTAAAAATCCGGACAGAGACACCAGAGGCACAGCAAACAGCAGTAACGGCAGCCCGAAGCAAGCGATGAGGGTTAAGAAAGGCTGCAACTCCACCGAGGTGGGGGTCCCGCTGACCATCGAGGAGGACCTGCACGGCAGCCCGGTGATCACCCCGGAGGATGTTCTGGGCTTGCAGAAGATCACAGAGAGTAAGTTCACTGTCGGTGTTTGGGTGACACTAAGAAGGGCAAAGCTGCTCCTTTATGAGTCATGTATCACGTCATACTTTTCCCACTTATTTATGTAATCTACAGCGGACCCATTCAAACACATGGTGATGAATCATTGTGGAGCCCCCTCTCTGGGTAATGTTGCTGCATATGTGATTTAAACCTCCTCTGGGTTCATCTCAGCAGCACTGTGACCTGTTATGTGTAGTGTCGAGGTTGAGATTAGCACACAATCTCGAAAGTGGGTGAGGGGGGCTTTAAACCACCATGTGTGCAGTTTGAAGTGCAATCATTCAACCCAAATACAGATGACACAATAATAATAATAATAATAATAATAATGACTTGGATTTTATAGCGCCTTTCAAGAAACCCATGACTTACTTACATCTCTTGAAGAGCCAGTTGGATGTATTTCGACGTACGTATTTGCAGAAATTGATTACAATATGTTTTCATAAGTGTATTTATCAATTGAAACTAAGAATAGTTGTGTTTTTTGTTATCTTGAAATGATTACTTGATATCTATAGGGAGTTGTTCCTCTTTATTGGAGTTGGCCATGTTGCAACACAACCAGGATCTAGCTCTAGAGGAGTCCTTTCATGTTTTTACCTTACCTGAAGACCACTTTAGTTTTCCCACACACTTGTTAACTGGTATGCTTATGCTGCTTGAATTGTAATTGTTCCTGAATGAGTGTAATGTTAAGGATTGCATCTGATGAAGTAAAGGGCTTCAACGCATCACGGTTTTGTACTTGGTGTCCATTTCTGCAGGGTAATCAGTTGGTTGCAAAACCCTTTAACACACTGTCCCTTTAAGTTGCATTAAGTCTTAACGTCAGGATGATTTTATTTGAGTTGAAAGGTGCAGAGTGAGGTAATGTCGTGACAGAGGAGTCATCCTTCAAAGCAGCCTATGAGTTTGCATGAGTTCAGCGTAGAAGTTTTCACATGAGAGGAGATTTAAAACATCCAGGTGTCAGGTTTGTGTGCGCAACTCTTGTCAAAATGTTCTAGCTGAAGTTTTCAGTTGAATTTTGTAGTAATTTACAAGAGCTTTGGATTTTAAATAAGCTTATTAGGAATGTTTTATGGGCTTCACCAACAAGAGAGCAAAAGTGGTACTGTATCAGTAGTAGAAGAAGCATTTACTCAGATAAAAAAAAAGTGATAAGGTCCATTATTTAATTAGGCAGTGTCAAAACACCCTATTAGCTTATAGGTGAAAGTCTTGCATCCAAAATCAGTAACATGTACTTCGTGTAGTTAGAGTAAAACTATTTGTTGCTGAAAAACAACCTCTTTAATTTGTATTAGTAATATTATTGTTTTATTTTAACAGATATTTTAATTAAATCATGTGATTAGTAATATTCTCTTGTGGGTCAAAATGGAGAGTATTGTGTTGTAGAGTAGTTTAAGGTCTAACATTGTGCCATTTTTCAGAAGATTATCATTTGTTTTGTAAGATGTTAATCAGAAGATTAACTACTAACAAAGCAATGTGTATACACTTTTTTTAATCACAAGTAGAGCTGCTTATTCGCTGATAAACAAACTAATCTTATACGTGTTTTCATAGCTAAGGGCCTTCTCTGCCACTTGAGACATTCTGATTACCATACTGAGTGTGGCTAAAAGCTTCAAATTGCTAATTTAATTGCATATTCATCATGTCATAATGTGAAATCTGCTGATTACTTAATGTTTTATTTTTAATTATGTCACAGCTCTCAATCTCAACAAGCCTCTTATAGAGAACAACAGGATGCTATAGCGGCTGGGGAGCTGTTATGTGCACAAGAACATCCATCTCCAACATCCATCTCCACCTCAGGTCTTAAACCAGCCGTTAGCTAACAGGTGGCCAGCAGGGCATTTGACTATTTAAAGGCCAGTATAATACCCGACTTACATAACACGGTTACAGGGACCGAATCAAAACATACTTAGTGTGATAACATGCAGGTGTTATGAGTTCATGTCCCTCTTTACTCAAAAATAGTATATTTTTACCTAATCTTCATCAACAATTACGGCCAAACTTAGTCAAGTTTAGATCAACTTTAATTATATTATTTAGATGCCAATAAGTAAATGATATGCAACCACCATGAAAGCAATATCAATTAAATTAATAAATAGGTCAGTGTCCAGCTAACTAAACCGACAAACATAAATTCAGCATGTTTATTTAATGCCAATATGAATATATTTTCTTATACAGACTTAATTTACAATTCTCAACAGTATTTAAGATATAAATCAATATGAAACACCCTGCACAACAACATGGGGTTATCCTGTTTAGCACTTCTAGCGTTTCCCCACACACAACAGGATTTAAAAATTGAATTTGCTATTATTTGCAATTTGAAATCAGAGTGGCCAGGATGCACTTCTTAAATTCACCTCTTAAAAACATCTAGTCAGCTAATCCTTAAAACCATTAAAAAAAGGAGTGGTCCTCAATCTGTTGGATTCCTGTGGAGTCTGTACTGACATTAACTGTCATTTTAATTGGACTAACCAAATGATGTGAAGAGTTTGACACTGTCACATGTCACTGTCACACTGTTCTGTGAAAAAGTTATTTTCTTACAAACGGATTTCTACATCATATAATTTATTTCCTATTTTGTGTAACTCTTTCACGCAGCTCAAGATAACACAGGAGGTTTACGTAGGGATGAGGAACGAGACTTTGCTCATCCAGTTCAGCATAATCACAGCTTACTGAGCAGAGGAAGAGCTGGGAACATCTTTGGGCTCAGCTTGTTCCTCTCCTCTTTTTCTAACGGTAGTTGTAATGTCTGGTAGTGTTTTTTAGCTTCAGCTGTATTTGTACACACACCTGTACAGAACACATGTGCAAGAATCTATGTTTGTGTTGGCTGCACAGCAGAGGTAACACCATAATGACTGTGTACAACAACTCCTCCTCTAAAGTCCTGTCAAAGTCGGTAAAGTTTTACTTATCCGAGTGACAGAATAGTTTTACAAAGAGACGACCTTAGACTATAACCAGATTTTTATTAAACTCTCAGTTTGTTTTACACTGATATTCCCTTTCCCTCAAGTAGCACTCTTTTTGTGCATACTGTGAAAGGTAAAATATACCTCTACTTATCCACAGGAGGAATATATTGATAAATGCATAACCTGTGTTCGGTTGTGTTCTATTCCATTTTAAGTGTTTCAACTTGTTCATTAAACTATTTCCCTTACCATTTGTTGTCAGTATGTTCGTTCATTCTCTAAAGTACCATCTTCGGAAATTACCCCTCCGTACACCACGTCACACAACTCGCACCACAACCCTAGCCCCCCAGTGTGCTAGTTTGGGGTGACGCGCAAGCGTACAGCAACACAGGTTCTGTGAAGTGGGGTTAACGAAGGACACCCCTAACGGATGTCATAACTCAAAACATCAGCGAAAACCTATTTTCGCAAATTGGTTCATTGTGCATTACATTACATCTACTCTCAACAAATACACAAAGTGACTTGACTAATAGTCTAGGTGGTATTCGTTGTATTCAACCTAGTCTGCTCATTTGACTCGTCTTTCCGACAAGATAGAAACGTTTAGAATGAGTTAGAGTCGTCGAACGAGTAAGTGCTACCTACCTCGTCTTGTACTAACAACCATGAAACCTTTCATGAAACGAATGTGTTTCACTCCAAGAGAGGACACTCTGAAGACGAGAGCTTTCGTCGAAGTTTGTCGTCCCGAAATAATTTTGAGTCCCTGACAACAGTTCGGACCGACAATGACTCAAAAGAAGTTAACAAAATTGAAACTCGGTGTACCTCTTACACTCGTCCGTCATTGTTCGACTCTATTCGTAGTGTTTTGTTGTCTTCTCGAGTCACAAAAGTTCGACAAAGAACGAGACAAACTCGCTGTGTTCGCGACAGTTCGTTCGTACACCGTACACACATAAATGTCAGGTATAAATCAGTAGATGTCTCATACCGTTTAAGCGTCATATCCTCTTCTATATTTCCTTGCTGTCTGCTCCCTCTCCACACACCCTCAGACGGGCGAACAGAGCGACATGGTGTCCCCCGTACGAAGTGCAACGACATCACTAAGTCGCACGTAGGTGCCAACGCACCGCTGTATGGAAAGAGACCGTCGTCGTTACTGCGGCGGTCTGTCCTTTCTTCTCAAAAGATTTCTGGTATTATTCCTTAGG